CTGAGTGGCCTTACAAGACACAGCCTTCTATATTCTGCTTCTTTGGCTTATACCCATAGAGGAGTGGCACTAGGTTTTTTTTTTTTTTTGGATTCTGGGTCTCACTATGTTGCCCAGGCTACACTCAAACTCCTGGGCTCAAGCAATTCTCTTGCCTCAGCCTCTTAAGACTACAGACACGTGCCACCACACCAGCCTGGGCACTAATTTTAACCCTCTTCCATAACCTGGCTTAGAACAACACTCTTGCATTCTGTTATTCTAACATTACCCACACTTTCTCATGAACAATGCACATAAAACCGAGAGTCATATTTTAAACTCTCTATATATACTAACATACTAACTCTATATATATACTAACTAAACATGATATACTAACGTAATCACCTTTATTTTATAGTGCTGTAATTCACATTCTCTGGGTTTACAGTTAGACCCATCTTTTCTGATAGCTAACGTGCTATTACTGTGTCGTATTTTAGAGGTAAAGAAACTGAGTTCTGGAGAGGTGTTGACTTATTTGAAGGCTACTTCCCAGCAGCATCAGGATGAGTGTCAAAGTTCCCTAACTCCAGACAGATCACTTTTTCTCTGGGTTATGTGCTACCCTTTGTGTTAGCTTTCTAGGGCTGCCATAACAAATTACCACACATTTTGTGGCTTAAAACTACAGAAATTTATTCCCTCACAGTTCTAGTGGCCGAAAGTCAGAAATCCAGGTGTCACTGGGCTGAGCCCACTACGAAGGCCTGAGGAGAGCGTTCTTCTTTGCCTGTCCCAGCTTCTGGTAGCTCCAGGCATTCCTGGTTCGTGGCCACGGCGCTCCAATCTCTGCTTTGGGCACACGGCTTTCTCCTCTTCTCCCGGTGCTTCTCTTCTGATATCTTTCATAAGGACATGTATCATCGGATTTAGAGCCCACCAGATAACCCAGGATAATCATCTTGAGATCCTTTACTCAATTACATCTGCAAAGAAGCTTTTCCTAAATGAGGGCATATGCACAGTTCTAGTGGTCAGGGTTGGACATTTCTTTTGAGAAGACACCGTTCAACGCACTACACCTTCTTTTTCTTTCTTTGTTTTTTTTTTTTTTTTTTTTTTTGAAATAGGGTCTCTCTCTGTCACCCAGACTGGAGTGCAGTGGTGCAGTGTCGGCTCACCACAACCTCTGCCTCCCAGGTTCAAGCGATTCTCCTGCCCCAGCCTCCCAAGTAGCCGGGATTACAGGCGTGTGCCACCACGCTGAGTTGATTTTGTATTTTTAGTAGAGATGGGGTTTCACCATATTGCCCAGGTTGATTTCGAACTCCTGGCCTCAAGCAATACACCAGCCTCAGCCTCCCAATATGCTAGGATTGCAGGCACAAGCCACCGTGCCTAGCCTTCAACCCACTATACCTTCTAAGGAAGAACAGTGGTCCAAACCAGTTACTGGCTTCAAATTGATCCAGCTGGAAGACAATCCCAACAAGAAGCAAACAAGATAACCCTAGACAGGGTGAGCCTGTATTTCCAAGCATCCTTTAATTCAAGATGCTGGGTTATTTCCAAACCTGCCCCCGTCTCTGTTCAATCACCAGCTCACCCAGCCCTGTCTCAGGAAAATGGTGATTCACTGGCACAGAACTGGAAGTACTTACTGACCTAAGTCAGTAAGTACTGACCTAAGGGAGGGAGGCAATGGTCTCTTTCGTCAATACCTTGGAAGAGGAGGCATTTATCTTTCAGCCAACACGGAAAGCCTAAGCTGCTTTTGGTGCCATAAGACTACATGTGTGCAAGACAATTAATTGTGTGATTACAGGGCCATGGTTCTAAAGATCACACCCTCATTATTAGAACATCTTTTCCGATTTCCTGCCCAGGGTGAGCAGTTTTTGAGGAGTTCCCTCCCCTGTCTGGCTATCCGTCCACATCACAGAAAGTTGATTCCAAGTGGATACCAGCTATCAGTTTGGCCTGCCAGCAAGACACCTCTCTTTCCTTTGCCACTTCCCAGATGGCAGTGGTTTAAAAAATATATTGCAATTATTACAAAGAGAGTGGGACATTATTATTGCAGGTAGTCTTGAAAAAAGTGAATGGCCATATTCCCTGTGAAAGGAAATTATCTTGGACCCCCAAAATCACTAAGGGAAACTCAAGCTGGAAACTGCTTAGGGCAAATCTGCCTCCCATTCTATTCAAAGTCACCCCTCTGCTCACTGAGATAGATGCATATCTGATGCCTCCTTTAGAAAGGCTAATCAGAAACTCAAAAGGATGCAACAGCTTGTGTCTCACCTATCGGTGACCTGGAAGCTGCCTCCCAGCTTTGAGTCTTCCTGCCTTTGCTTCAAGTTGTCCCACCTTTCCAGACCGAACCGAAGTACTTCTTACATATATTGATCAATGTCTCATGTCTCCCTGAAATGTATAAAATCAAGCTGTGCCCCGACCACCATGGGCACATGTCATCAGGACTTCCTCGGGCATGTCCTCAACCTTGGCAAAGTAAACTTTCTAAATGAACTGAGACCTGTCTCATTTTCTGGGTTCACATCCCCCATCCTAACATGACTGCTAGTTTTTGCTTTGGGCTTATCTACAATCATGCATGGAATAATGACATTTTGGTCAATAACAGACCACATCTATGACAGCGCTCCCATAATATTATAATGGACCAGGTGGAGTGGCTCACTCCTGTAATCCCAGCAATTTGGGAGGCTGAGGCTTAAGGATTGCTTAAACCCAAGAGTTTGAGACCAGCCTGGGCAACATAGTGAAACCCCATGTCTACAGAAAAAAAAAGAGAGGAAGAAAAAGAAGAAAGAAAAGAATGAAACAAGAGAGAAAGAAAAAGAAAGAAGAAAGAAAGAGAGAGAGAAAGAAAGAAAGAAAGAAAGAAAGAAAGAAAGAAAGAAAGAAAGAGAAAAAAAGAAAAGAAAAGAAAAAAAAGGAAGGAAGGAAGGAAGGAGGGAAGGAAGGAAGGAGGGAAGGAAGGAAGGAGGGAAAGAAGGAAAAGATTATAATGGAGCATACACAGAAACCTGATATGCACTTGACATTGACATAGATGAAATAGGAGAAACAACTAATATTCACTAATGGTGCTGGGACATTTGGTTTTCTATGTGAAAATACATATATATATATGAACATATATACCATCTAGGTTTGTGTAAATATACTCTATGATGTTCACACAATGAAGAAGTCACCTAATGACGGATTACTGTGTCCCTGCCATTGAGTGCCATTGACTGTATCTGCATTCACTCACTGGCAGTCATCATGGACACACTTCTACTTTGTGTTGTTTTCTTTCTTCACTTAATTCATTGTTAACACACATTTGTTGAGATTATATAGCAGGTTTAACTTCAGGCTGTAAACATTTCACCTTGTCTTATAGCTTCTGCATAACCATTGTAATCAACATTTTTAATTTTTATTTATTATTTATTTATTTTGAGACAGAATCTCTTTCTGTCACCCAGGCTGGAATGCAGTGGTGTGATCTCGGCTCACTGCAACCTCCGCCTCCTGGGTTCAAGCTGTTCTCCTGCCTCAGCCTCCCCAGTAGCTGGGACTATAGGCGTGGGCTACCAGCTCAAAAAAAATTTTTTTTTCTTTTTTTGTATTTTTAGTAGAGACGGGGCTTCACCATGTTGGTCAGGCTGGTCTCGAACTCCAGACCTCAAATGATCCGCCCGCCTCGGCCTCCCAAAGTGTTGGGATTACAGGCGTGAGCCACAGCGCCCGGCAGTAATTAACATTTTTAATGACTGCCTAATAAGCTGCTTGTCAATATGTCACAAGGTATTAGAAAGGACTCATGATTGGGTGACAGAGAGTAAACCCAAACAAGCTTAAGAAGAAGAGAAACATTCATTGACATCCACAGTGAAAAAGACAAGGGTGGCACTGGTCTCAGGCATGGCTGGAACCAGGTGTCCAAATGACACTGCCGGTACTCTGTTTCTGCCTTCTGGATGCTTTCTCCAGGGCTGGCTTCATTGTCAGGCAGGCTCTCCCCAAGAGGTAGCAAAATGGTTGCCAGTAGCCATTGCTTATAAAATGCCAGCTAAGCAACCTTGCAGAAAGAACACCTCCTTTCCTAGGAGTCCCAGCTAAAGTCCTGGGCTGACTCTCATTAGGATAACTTAGATCATGTGACCTAGTCGTGTGACCACCTCTGGACCAATCTCCATGGCCAACAGGAGATGCAATTCTCCCATTGGTCTAGCCCTGGTCACATGGTCTCCCCATATCCAATCAAGGGATGGCAATAGACCCATCCAAACCACATTGATTGTGGAGGAGAGGCAATTCCTTAAATCAGGCTGAGATGCTGTTGGCAGAAGAAGGGGGAATGAATGCTTGGCAGGAGGAACCCAGATGTTTCTCCTGCTCGCTGGATGTCTAGGACTCCCCTCCCCAGTTTCTACTGTGACAGATGATACAGTAGCTGTGGGTAGAGCGTCACTCCCTTCTCCGTCTCCCGGGGAGCACCTTGCTCTAGGCGTTTATATACGATGCCTCCACATGGGATTTTGTTTGAGGTGAGGATTCCACCGCTTAACAGCATTTGAAAATCAGTGGCCATAGTGTGCCCTCCAGCTCCAAGTGGCTGAGAATCCATGACCTTAACTTTATTCCTCTCCTGGAACCCGCTGAGATGCTGCTTCTTGTTCTTCTCTGCTCTCCTTCGCTTTCTACCCTTTTCCCTTCCTCCTCCGCACTCCCCACTCCCACAGTGGGCATAGGGGCCCACAGATAGCTGGTGGGGCTAGAGAGATGGTATCAGGACAGGGGCAGGGGCCTCCACTCCAGCTCTTCCTTTTCCTTCCATTAATCCTGCCCTGTCAGACCCACCCTACCCCATCCTCTCCCCTCTGGCCCAGTGGGAACAGCTCTCCCAGGGCCACTGGGACTCAGGCAGTTTGGGTGAAACCAATTAGCACCTGGCCCTGACTTTTCTGGTAACTGAGCCCTCTACTCTGGCCCAGGTCCTGGTCATCCTGATGGATGTGTTCACGGATGTGGAGATCTTCTGTGACATTCTAGAGGCAGCCAACAAGCGTGGGGTGTTCGTTTGTGTGCTCCTGGACCAGGGAGGTGTGAAGCTCTTCCAGGAGATGTGTGACAAAATCCAGATCTCTGACAGTCACCTCAAGGTAGGGGCCCCAATGAGAGTCCTAAGGGTACTCATATTAGTCCAGACAGGATAGTCTATGCAGCACTAACAAATGTCCCCATCTTGTGTTAATAGCTGAACACAATAAAGGTTCACTTCTTGCTCAAACAAACTCCTATGTAGGTCAGATGGCCCTCCTCCATCATGTAGCTACATCCTGAGAAATACATGGCCTCTAAGATAGAGCCATGACAGGGAAAGAGCAATGACAGGGAAAGGCTGGAGGACTCTGCAGGATGTTTCCAGGATCTGACCTGGAAGAGATTTTCATCGCTTTCTCTTACAACCCATTGACCTTACCGAGATGCACGGATGCTAGGAAATGTAAAGGGTCATGGGTGTCTAGTGAGCAGCATCTCTGCCATGTACTCCTGTTCTCCTCTCAGCTGGGGAAGCCCAGGGGCTGCATCTCACAGGGCAGGCAACCTCCAGGGTCTGTGGGATACGTTCAGAACTCCCTGACCCCAACAAGATGTTGATCCTCTTGGACTTCACTGAACCCTGTACTTCCCCCTCCTGGTAAAGAGAAAAGAAACCCAGAGATAAGGGTTCAATTCATCACACAAATTTGAGGACAACTAATTCAAATGTGAACACCACCCATAGTTTTCATGAGTAGGCCCGGCTGAGCCGCTGATGGGTGGCCCTCAGAGTTCCTTTGATAAGTCTCCTCTAGCTCAGGCAAGAGAGGTTCTGTTCTCTGGGAGAACCTCCCAGATAAAAATGAAGACTCCTCCCTCCCTCCCTTCTCCTAGGCATGGATGCAGCTGAGTTCAGTGCTGCCTCCTGCTGCCATAGGCCTTGGGACCTCTGATTTGGGGTCTGTTTGGCTTGACGTGGATCACACCTCCTTGGCACCAGGCCATTGAAACAGGTCAGGACCATCAGAACTGGCCTTGCTTTCATGGCCTATGCTGGGCACACCTGACAGTACTCTGCTCACCATAGGACAATGGTGTCCCTCATCTCAAGATCTCACAGAGCTATGGAGAAACCCAGGGGAAGCGGCTGGAGGCAGGACTGCCCTTCCCAGAGCCTGGCGAGCTACCAGCAGTCTTTTGAGGAATGCAGACAGTACTCCACCTCCCTCAGCCTTAACCTTGAGACTCCCACACTTTACCTGCCTCCCATTTTTCCAGCCCTAGGGTGGGAGCAGCAGGTGCTACAGGGAAGACAAGGGATAAATAGAGCCATGGTAGGACTGCAGACTCACCTTTGCTTAAGACAATACAGAGTCTATTGCTACCTCCACAAAACCACCTCCTCTGGCTGTACCCAGCCTTCCCTCTGAACAGGTTGCAGTCAGGGACTCAGGTCAAGCCACTTACAAGGCAGGGCTGGGCTTGCCTCCAAGTAACTGCCACGCCACCTGTGGCTCATGGGGGCCTAGATTCGGGGCTCCACAGGCATCAGGCCATTGTTTTTCTTTTATTTGCTGCCTTATTTGAATTCTACCCCCTTCCTTTTTTTCTGTTTTGTTTTTGTTTTTGTTTTGTTTTGTTTTTGCCAGCTAATGCCAGGACAATGAAGACAATTTAGACAACTCAGCCCAAGGAAAATATTAATATGGTCCAGAATCCCACCAACCAGAGATAACACATTTTCATCTTGATGAGCATTCTACCAGACATTTTCCTACACAAATTGTCTTAGTCCATCACAGCTGCTATAACAGAATTCCAAAGACTGGTGGCTTATAACAACAGAAATTTATTCCTATGGTTCTAGAGGCTGGGAACTCCAAGATCAACGTTCTGGCAGATTCGGCGTCTGGTGAAGGCCACTTCCTGGCCTATAAATGGCTGTCTTCTTGCTGTGTCCTCACGTGGCAGAAGGAGTGAGGGAGCTCTCTAGGCTTCTTTTATAAGGCACTCATCCCATTCATGAGAGCTCCACCTTCATGACCTAATCTCCTCCCAAAGGCCCCACCCTCTAGTACCATCACCCTGGGGATTAGGTTTCTACATAGAATGGGGGTAAGAGGAACACAAACATCCAGCCTAAAGCCCAAATATATCTCTATAAACAGAATGAGGAAGTGACACCTTGACATTCCCTCCAACAGAACATTTCCATCCGGAGTGTAGAAGGAGAGGTGTATTGTGCCAAGTCAGGCAGGAAATTCGCTGGCCAAATCCGGGAGAAGTTCATCATCTCAGACTGGAGATTCGTCCTCTCTGGATCTTACAGGTGAGCCCTGGATTTGTCTCCTGTCAAGGGTTCGTGGAGGACAAGGGCTGGGTGAGGTGGAGCCCAGCTCCCATTGCTCAGACACACACAGCCCCAGCAGCTCCCAGAAGGTACCCCTCTGCCTGGAGCTGGAGCTGCATCACCTAGATGGGAGGAGAGGCAGGAAATGTGGGCCCTTTCTGGCAAGAATTCCAGGTAGAGAGGCATTTCCAGGTGCCTCAGTTTCCCTTGATATTGCAATAGGACATAGAATCCTCTTCTTTTCCCTCCTCGGATATCTTAGATGTGATTATGAAGTGATGCAATTTGTTTAGTTGTGTGTGTGCACACCCCATTGCTTTTTTCTTTTTTTTAAGATGGAGTCTCGCCCTGTCACCCAGGCTGGAGTGCAATGGTGCAATCACAGCTCACTGCAACCTCCACCTCCAGGATTCAAGCGATTCTCCTCCCTCAGCCCCCCACGTAGCTGGGATTGCAGGCACCCACTACCACACCCGGCGAATTTTTGTATATTTAGTAGAGACAGGGTTTCATCGTGTTGGCCAGGCTGGTATCAAACTCCTGACCTCAGGTGATCCACCCATGTGGCCTCCCAAAGTGCTGAGATTACGGGCATGAGCCACTGCGCCCAGCCCCATTTTATTTTTTAAATTTTTATTATTTGCTCAAGCAATCCACCAGCCTCAGCCTCCCATAGTGTTGGGATTATAGGCATGAGCCCCATGCCCGGCCTCAGTTAGTGTTTAGACCCTCACACATAGACTCCTACATCCAAATGACTGACCACCCATTTATTCTAACAACGTTACCTTGCCTGGGTCTGTCTTTGAAACTTGATTTCAGAGCTTAAAATATATTCTTTGAAATGTTCTTAGTGGTGGCACTAGGAGAGTGGATTTGATGGTGGGTTTTGTGGGAGGATGAAACGAGAGGGCAATTGAGGAAGGAAGGAAGAGCCGAAGGTCATTTGGGAACATTTTGTTTAGGAAGGTGATGAGTGTGACAGAGAGTGCAGAGGGGGCAACTGGTTGCATCTTATCTTACTTCCTCTGCTGCAAACACATAGCAGTGACCAGAGAAATATGAGCACAAACATTGGGATAAGCTGCGAGTGGAAGGCAGGCTTCCGGGGGCGTTAAGGATGCCCTCTTTCCCCAGGGAGCAGGAGCCTGCAATGCCGTTCCAAAGCCAGGTGAAGCCAACTGCCAAATCTCTAGCCAGAGACAAATGAGCATAAAGGGAAAGAGAGAAAGGGAAAAGAAATAAATAAATAAACCCTAACATTTAAAATGTGCTATCTTTCTTTAGCCTTATTAGTGCTGTTTAGCTGAAATTCCACTTTTAATGACATTAACATTGCTACCTCCAGTCTTCCTTGGGCTTATACTTGTACAGTGTCTTAGTCCATTTGGGCTGCTATAGTAACATCCCATAGACTGGATAGCTTATAAACAACGGAAACTCATTACTCACAGTCCTGAAGGCTGGGAAGTCCTAGGTCGAGGTGTTGGCAGATTCAGTGTCTGGGGAAGGCCCACCTTCTGCCTCATAGACTGCTGTCTTTTCACTGTGTCACACAGCAAAAGTGTATCTTTATCCCTTCATGGTAAAAAGGTGAGGGAGCTCACTGGGGCCTCTTCTGCAAAGGCACTAACCCCATTCCTGAAGGTTCTACTTTCATGACCTAATCATGACTAATCATCACATTGGGGATTAGGATTTCAAATACGAATCTGGAGGAGACACAGACATTCAGTCTAGAGCACACAGCATAACTTTCTCTCCATCCCATTATTTTCAAACTTGCTGATAGATTTTAAGTGTGTCTTTTGTGAACAACATATCATTAATTTTTGTTTTTCTGAGACGGAGCCTCGCTCTGTCACCCAGGTTGGAGTGCAGTGGTGCGATCCCAGCTCACTGCAACCTCCGCCTCCTGGGTTCAAGTGATTCTCCTGCCTCAGCCTCCCCAGTAGCTGGGATTACAGGTGCCTGCCACCACACTTGGCTAATTTTTGTATTTTTAGCAGAGATGGGGTTTTGCTATGATGGCCACGCTGGTCTCTAACTCCTGACCTCAGATGATCCACCCACCTCAGCCTCCCAAAGTGCAGGGAATACAGGCGTGAGCCACTGCTCCCAGCCTCATTAAAGTTTTTAAAAGTATAATTTTATCATCTGTCTTTTAATAGGTATAATCCACTTAGTTATTGTGATTGCTGATCTATTTGGATTTATTTCTAATATTTATATTTTGACTTCGCTTTGCTTTTCCCCTTTTGTGTTTGCAGTTGAATGGACAGGTTTTCATATTACTTCTCTTTTAGATAGCTCCTTTTTTTTTCTCTGCTTGTACGAAGCTGAATAATTTATATTTACTCTTTTCTTGTAATGGGACTCCTTCAGTTTTTAAAGTACTTTACACATTTTCCAAACAAAGTCCAAAATTGTGTAATAATTCTCCTCTCCTCCCAAATACAACGAGGACCTTCGTGCACTGTTTTTCAACATTTTGGTTCCTATTAAGTTCGTCAAGGCTGTTTCACTGTAAGGCACAGAAAATCTACTTAAACCGGCTAAGTAAAGGCAGAAGGGAAGGGGTGTTGTAAGGCTGTGGCAGTTAATCTCAGGCACAGCCAAGGGCAGAACCAGGGACTGCCAGGCCTCCCCGAGTCTGGGAAAAGCTAGGGTAAAAGCTGCTCACTCTGGCTTTTATGGGTCCACAGGCCTGTTGTTTAGCTTCTTTTTCTGGTTCTCTCTCCTGCCTCATGGATTGTATAAGTTAAATCTGACCTCCTCATCCCTAAGCTTTGGGGCCTCCCAGCCCAGCCCCCACCACCATCACCCCTGGTCCGGCCATTCTGTCAGCCCAGATCACCAACCAGTGGATGAGCTGTCTCTGAGGCTGGTGTCCACCCCTGAGCCAGTAACCTGTGGCTGGGGCAGGGGTGGCAGAAGGGAACTTGGCACGTGGCGAAAACATGGCTGCCCTTCACCCAGGCCTAGGGTGGGGCAAGTTTTCAGAGAAGAATCTCTAGAATATGTCATTCCGTCCTCAAACTTTTTAGAATTTGAAGGTAGGAGAACAAGGCTATGGAAAAAAAGAGAATGTGGCTTAGGAGGCACTTCAAGTGCAGTTCACACCTTCCTGCCCAGCTTGCCTTGAGGTCTGGAATGTCCTTCCTAGCACTGAGGGTCCTCATGTAAGTGCCTGTTCTGGGTGTTTCATGTAAATGGAATACTCATTCAATATGTGGCATTTTGTGGCTGGCTTCTTTCACATAACATTTTCCAGGCTCATCCGAGCTGTAGCGTGTGTCAGTGCTGCCTCCCTTTTCGTGGCTGAGCAATATTCCATGGACTGGACAGACCACAGTTGGTTTATCTGGTCATCAGTCCATAGACACTGGGTGGTTTCCCCCTTTCGGCGATTGTGAATATGAGCTGAGGAATTCTTGTAGCGCTCTTGACACTCTATTTCAAGGCACACATTCTTCCCTGGGGAATTCAGATTTTGTATCACTAAAGGGAAGAAGGAGGTTGAGCTGTGGGCTAGAATAGCTGAGGATTCCCTGAACATGGGGAAGAAATCAAAGAACAGGTGCAGTTTGAAATCAAAGAACAGGTGCAGTTGAGCTGTCTCCTCAGTAACCCCAAAATATGATACACTTTAAAGTGATCTGGGCCGGGAGTGGTGGTTCACACCTGTGATGCCAGCACTTTGAGAGGCCTAGGCGGGTGGATCACCTGAGGTCAGTAGTTTGAGACCAACCTGGCCAACATGGTGAAACCCCGTCTCTACTAAAAGTACACAAATTAGCTGGGCGCAGTGACACGCACCTGTAATCCCGGCTGCTGGGGAGGCTGAGGCACGAGAATCACTTTGAACCCGGGAGGCAGAGGCTGCATTGAGCAGAGATCGCACCACTGCACTCCAGCCTGGGTGACAGAGTGAGACTCTCCTTCAAAAAAAATAAAAAAATAAAAAATAAATAAAGTGATCTGAACTTCAACAGATCAAAGTTTGGATGGTTTAAAAAAAAAAAAAAAACTTCTTACCCAGAGGCTCTTATCTATAACATCCTGCCCAAAGTTCAAGATTAGACAATTATTTTTGAGAAATGTTGCACCCTTGCAGGACCCACTAGCTGCATTGCACACGACCATGGGGCGGTTATCTCTGTGGAAAAAAGGAGAAGGCCTGGGAACACAGTCATTTGGAAACAGAGATGTAAAGATAAAAGGCTGAGAAACAAGTTCTTATTATCTGTGTGTATGACGAAAACTGATGAAGGAGCTTAAGCGACCGGGAGGGATTTCGAACATTTCCGGGAGATCAGAACTGCGCTAGGAGTGGGGACTTCCTCCCTCTACCAAATGGTGTCAAATGCTGGGCAGATTAAGCTGAAACACATTCCCAAGATAAACTTCCCTGTAACACCTTCAGGAAAACAGAGTGTCTATCTTCAACTTCTCAAAATATGAATTTTTCCACCCTCGAATCCTCAAATCCATATCATTTCACTTTTAAACCAAACAATATCTCATACATTATGCTTTCCCCTGGAAGAACAAGAATTTGAATGTGTTAGGTCATACCCCACTCTTTTTTTCGGAGATGCTCTGTTGCCTAGCGTGGTGCTGCCGTGATCTCAGCTCACTGCAGCCTCAGCCTCCTGGTTCAAGCGATACTCCCACCTCAGCCTCCCAGTAGCTGGAATTACAGGCGTGGGCTCCCACACCTGGCTAATTGTCTTGTATATTTAGTAGAGACGGGGGGGGGGGGGTTTCACGATGTTGGCCAGGCTGGTCTCGAACGCCTGACCTCAAGTGATCCGCCCTCCTGGGCCTCCCAAATTGCTGGAATTACAGGCGTGAACCACTGCTCCCAGCTTCTATACCCAACTCTTAATAGCTATGTATCTGTCATCTCTCTGGGCCTGTTTCCTCATCAGAACGAAATGGAAAATAATAACACATTCTCTTTGTATTAGAATTGT